CCATGGCAAAACTTGGAAACAATAAACATTGACAAAATCACAATCTGTCAACTGAAAAAGCCACCTTACTTGGATCTGCACACATCATTCGAAAATACATCACAGTCCTAGATGCTTGGGAAGTGTTCGACTTGTGATTTTGTGATACGAAATCCAGCATATATCTCTTATTTGCTGTGACATACCGTGTTTTTGTGTCAGTAAAATAATAATAATAATAATAATAATAATAATAATAATAATAATAATAACTTTATTCTTATACCCCGCCTCCATCTCCCCAAAAAGACTCAGGGCAGCTTACAAGGGACATGCCCAGCAAATGCAGATTAAAAACAAGCACAAAAATACAGTCAACATCTAAAAACAATAAAACATTATAATCAGACAAACGTCATCAATAGTAAATGTGGCTGAACAACAATAGTGGGTTCGGGAGCAGAGCAGAGCTTTGGGCAAACAATATTGTGTCCAAGAACTAAGCATAAAACAACAGTGACTCTTGTTTAATTAATCACTGTGGCATCTTTAAAATGTAGGGAAAGATGGAGTGTGTTTGTGTTACCTTCACCGCTGTTTTGGGGATGTTGCCCAATAGGATCCGTTCTGTCATCAGTTTTCTCAGCATGAGGAATTGTTCATCATTGTACTCAAAGCGTTTCCCAAACAGGATGGAGCAGATAATGTTGGCAACAGCCTGACTGATAGGCAAAGTTGGGTCAAAAGGGTCTCCTAGTATGGAAAGATCATAGGGGGAGAGATTATAGTACAGGCAAATGTATATCCACATTATAGATATATATTTATTCCAGATTAAAATTGTGGTTTCCACCAATGAGAATTTTCTCATGTTGCTTCCTCGGTATCACTTTTTTCTTGGAATTGCCATCCTTTGTTTACTCATATCTGATGGAAAAGACTTCAAAATGATGTCATTACCAAGTCATGATATTCTAGCATTTCTATATTCTTCTCCTAAATATCTGAAATCCAAGTTGAGCTGATCTTCTTTCTTTTGTTAGAAATAAAACACATTTTTCATGCCAGCCCATCCAATGAGAACAAGCCAATAGATCTCTGCAGAACATCTATCTCTACTCCTTTAATTAAAGACTTCCCCTTTCTCGGTTCAGAATGTTTTATTGCATCATGAGGAGAAATACGATGAATTGTTCCTTAATTAGTTTCAACTCTCCATTGGAATAGAAGGTAAATTGTTGTCTGTCCTCACAAGGTAAAGGAAAAGGTTTTCCCTTGACATTAAGTCTAGTCGTGTCTGATTCTGGGGGTTGGTGCTTATGTCCATTTCTATGCTGAAAAGCTGGCATTGTCCGTAGACACCTCCAAGGTCGTGTGGCTGGCATGACTGCTTGGAGCACCATTTCCTTCCCGCAGAAGCGTTACCTGTTGATCTACTTCCATTTTCATGTTTTCAAACTGCTAGATTGGCAGAAGCTGTGGCTAACAGCAGGAGCTCACCCCGCTCCCCAGATTCGAATCACCAACCTTTCAGTCAGCAAGTTCAGCAGCTCAGCAGTTTAACCCGCTGCATCACCGGGGGTTCTGTCCTCACAAAAATTATCAAGTTAACGGAAATAGTACTGTTTTTGTGTGTCCTCACAAAAGCAGCACTATTTCCGCAACTTGCTAAATGGGACTGGCTTCCAGAAATAGCCAAAAGGGGACATGGCAATAGAGGAACTAGGATGCTACGCTAAATGTTGTGTGATCTATGTGTGTGTGTTTGTATGTTTGGTTGAAAAGCAAATCCAGACCCTCCAACACTGAGGAAAAAAGAAGAAAGTAGGAAGAATAAAAAGAAAGCAGTGGATGAATGGCCTAGCGTTGACCGTACACCCATATATATACCCTCCCTCCAATATAATAATTGTGCTGTCGCGCGCTGGGCTCCTATAAAAGACTATAAACAGGACTTAATTTCTGTGAGCCCAACGGGATGCCGGGGTTGCCTCAGAGAGAGTTTTTTGGGGATTTTTCTGAAAAGATGGGCTTCAAAGTCTTTAAAGATGCAACAAAATCTTTATTACTGAACAAATAACAAGGCTTCAATGATTGGATTCAAAGTTTTCTTAATAAACTGTTGGCTTTCTCAATCTTGCCCCCAAGGGCAGGCAACTGTTCCTTCACTGTTGGGAAAATCCCCGACCTCTACCCTGGGCAATCTGTCTTCTCTTCTGTTGGCGTGGGGCCCCTACACCCGGTCCAATCTGCTTTATGGTTGCCGCGAAGGGCCCTTACCGAACAGAGACCTTTGCAGAACTTCCAGGAGGAAGATGTTCACTTCCCAGTGATGGCTGGCTGAAGCGCTGTGGGACTGGATCCCTAGCAAGAGAGCTGAGAGGCTGTAAGTTCCTCAGCAAACTGTAAAGTCCCCAGCAAAAGCTGTGCTGAGACTGTATATCCCTGGCCAAGCTATGGGGCTATTTCTCCCCGGCCAAGCTGTAAATGATGAAGCCTTTTACAGGAGGTCCTGGTTTAAGTCCTGTAAGAAAGACTTCTCTGTGTGGACTGACCTAAAATGGCTCCTATTCCCTCCAAAACCCAAAAAGGGGGTGGGAACTAGGGAACCTAATGATAATTGACAGGTCATTGACCCAATAACTGCAAAGTAAGGAAAGCCATCTAACTGCAAATGCATAGAACTTTAAAAAACATGCAACACTCAACAAATAGCAAGATAAGCTGGAGCTCCTGGTACGGCCGTACCAGAACAATAATAATAATAATAATAATAATAATAATAATAATAATAACTTAATACCCCACCTCCATCTCCCCGAAGGGACTTGGGGTGGCTTACATAGGGACAAGCCCGGGCAGACATAGATTAAGAACACGACATAATAAAATAAAAATAAATAATAAAATAAACACATCATAAAAATAGCACAATATCATAAAACAATCAGAAGCCTGAACAGTAATAAATACTGTGCTCGGAGGGCTAGGAGAAAGTGCAATAGTTTCAGGACAGGGGCTGGTGGAAAAGTGCAAGAGCTGATAATAATGAGGGCTAGAAGGGTAATATTGTTTGTCATTTGTTTGTCCAAAACAAAACTCTACACTTCTCCGTCAACATCCTGGCACTAATGCAACAGAGCAAGTTCAGGCAGTCCCCAAGTTGCGAACAAGATAGAGTCCGTAGATTTGTTCTTAAGTTGAATTTGTATATAAGTCAGAACACCATCTATCTATCTATCTAGCTATCTATCTATCTAGCTATAGCTATCTATCTATCTATCTATCTATCTATCTATCTATCTATCTATCTATCTATCCATATGGCTAGATACTGACTGGGACTGTGTGTGCCTGTTATCTATATCTAAAAAAAGTTAATTTGTGTTAATTCTATGTAATGTAACTATATGAACATAATGTTGTAAGTAAACTTCTAGTTTGTAAGGTGACTCTTTTATTCACCTCTACCTTCTACCTTTTATTTTTCAGTGATTGGTTGGGGGGGGGGGAGGATACTGTCTCCTTACACTTGAAAATTACCTAAGGCCAGCCTTGTGTACACCAGGAAACGGAGCAAATCATTGTTTTGTGCTGTTATAGGGACCTCTGTGTAGAAAGAAACATATTGAGAACCTCAGAGTGTCTCTTGCAGGCTATAATGCACTAAGAATGAGTAACTAATTCATCAGTTTAATTTTTTTTGCAAAACTGATAAGGAGGACTAATGATCAAACAATAGCAATAACTTGCGAAATGCAGTGGAGAAATGGTGCTTATCCGACACAGTTGATTTTTCTCAAGGGACAGCCATTCCACCACAGACAGAGATTTGATAAAAGTAAGGGGAAAATGGAAGACTGGATTTTACACCCAGAGCCCTACCTCTTTTCATTACTTTTACCAAGCATCCATTGTATCCGCATGGTGAATTTGCACTGTGGAATAAATGTAGTTTGGCATCACTTTAACTGTCATAGCTCATGGCTATAGAGTCTTGGGAACCACAGTTTGGTGAGACACCAGCACTCTTGGGGAGGGAAGGCTAAAGCTATTGCAAAACTACAACCACCATAATTCCCTAGCACAGTGTTTCTCAACCTTCATAATGCCGCAACCCCTGAATACAGTTCCTCATGTTGTGGTGACCCCCAACCATAACATTATTTTTGTTGCTACTTCATAACTGTAATTTTGCTACTGCTATGAATTGTAATGTAAATATCTGATACGCAGGATGTATTTTCATTCACTGGACCAAATTTGGCACAAATACCCAATTAGATTTTGAAACATGGTTCTCATGTTCACTCTCAATCTTCTCTTCTCCCAGATAAACATTCCCAAGGAGGAAGGAAAAAGAGAAGGAAGGGAGGAAGAGAAGGATGGATGGAAGGGAGGGAGGGAGGAGATGGAGGAAGGGGATGGGAGGGAGAGAGGGAGGGAGGAAAGACAAAAAGGAAGGAAGGAAGGAAGGAAGGAGAAGAAGGAGAAAAGAGAGAGGGAAGGAGGGAGGGAGGGAAGAGGGAAATGTTTCATCCATGACTGCACAAGTCTCTAGCCCTCAATACGTAGTTAGCCTAGATCAGTGGTTCTCAACCTGTGGGTCCCCAGGTGTTTTGGCCTTCAACTCCCAGAAATATCAGCCAGTTTACAGGCTGTTAGGATTTCTGGGAGTTGAAGGCCAAAATATCTGGGGACCCACAGGTTGGGAACCACTGGCCTAGATAGATTGGAATGAGGAATTACTTCCCCAAATTCCCTATGCATGCCATTGCCTACCTCAAGAAGGGGCTTAGAAGGGGGGTTGTCTTACTCATCCTGCATGCCACTATCTCCTCCCCTTTGAATGCTTAGCAATGTGGTATCTTCAGGGAAGATGCAATTTCCTCCTTAAAGGTGTTTTTATTGCCCTGGTGAGGCTATGTGGTCAATTCTCCATTTTTGGCCTCTCTCTTCCTTTGTTCTTCTTGAGTGAGGAGGCATCTTGCCATTATCCAGGCAAGATGTAGATGCATGGATATTTTGTTATTTTCCCTTTTTCTTTTCCTTGGAAGATATCTCAGTGAAGCTAGTTAGCTCCAGGAACTTTTCCTATCCAGAATGGGTTTCTTTTGACTTTAATAAACATTTTTAGAACCTATGAAGTTGTGGATCTGCAATCCTGTTCCATCCTGCCGAATGGAAACGAATCCTTGCTCTCTACACACAAGCTTTTGCTGGTTATGAACTGTGCTGCTGGCTCTCTGCTATATTTTTGTGGAATCACCCCCAAATGAGGTTTATTTTTGAGCCTAACAGCTCTTGGTTATTTATTTCTTTATTTATTTATTTTGGGTATTTTTACCCTGCCCTTCTCAACCCCCTAGGGGAGACTTAGGGTGGCTTCCAGCCAGCACATATTCAATGCCTACAATTAAACACAATAAAATGCACAACAAAACAATAATTATAAATAATTAAAACATTGAGTTAATACAATAAAATCTACTAAAAAAGAAGCCTGGTGACCGTCATCTCGCCAAGTTCTGTAATTAGTGATTCCATTCAGCTTATCATAATCCATTTCCATAGCTCTTGTTGTCATTGTCCTTGTCAGTCTGCCAGATTACCCAAAGACCTGGTCCAATATCCATGTTTTTAATTTCCTTCTAAAAGAGAGGAGGGATGACGATGATTTAATTTCCCCAGGGAGTGAATTCCACAGGCGGGGAGCCACCACCGAGAAGGCCCTGTCCCTCGTCCCCGCCAGTCTCGTTTGTGACAAGGGTGGGGCCGAGAGCAGGGCTCCTCCAGAAGATCTTAAATTCCTAGGCGAGATGTAGAAGGAGATACATTCAGACAGGTATGCTGGGCCGGATTCCAACAGGAAGGAAGGATGAAAGGATAGAAGGGAGGGAGGGAGGAAGGGAGGGAGAAAAAGGGAGGTGAGGGAGGCAGGGAAGGAGGAAGGAAAGAGAGAAGGGGGGGGATAGGAAGGTGAGAGAGAGGAGGGCCAGGAAAAAGAGCCCAAGGGTCCACATCCGGTATACATACCTGGTACAGGAAAACCCTGAGTGATGTCTGGGGAGACAGTTGATGGTTGCCTTCACCCAACTTGGAAGCTACAACAACTGTGCTAGCTTACATTGCTTAAGGCTTAGCATAAACTGAGCAATGGTGCCTAATGTATTTTGGATGCCCCAGGGAAGACTGAACATGAACAAACACCTTGGGTTTTGTTGAGCTCCTCCACTAGGCACAGGGCTTCCTCCTGGATTTTCTCCTCGATGGATCTCTTCCCCATGCCGAAGTCCCTCAAAGTGGTGAGAGTGAATCGGCGGATTTGTTTCCATCGTTCCCCATTGGAAAACGCAATCCCTGGACAAAAGAACATAGAAAATCTCTAACAAGAGAGGAAAGGAATCCAAAGATGCCACTTCATATAAACTAAACATAATTCAAGTTAGGCGGACTTAACCATATAAACAGAAGGAAAGGGAGGGAGGAACAGTTTTCCCTCTTGAATTATCACTTCAATGTTTATTATTTCAAAATATCAGAAGATTAATGGGTTATCTTCTATAAGGAGCGGTACTTTTCCCAGTCTCTTCCCACTTCTGCACCTACAGTTTATAGACAGTTTTCTTTCCAACCCATTTTATTGTAATCACAGGAACAACATGGGTCAACCATATTCTTTAACTGCAAGCACTATCTTGCCAAGTAAGACTTAGAATCAAAGAATCATTGAGTTGGAAGAGACCTCGCAGGCCATCCAGTCCAATCCCATTCTGCCAAGAAGAAGGAAAATCACATTCAAAGCACCCCTGACAGATGGCCATCCAGCCTCTGCTTAAAAACCTTCAAAGAAGGAGCCTCCACCACACTCTGGAGCAGAGAGTTCCATTGCTGAACAGCTCTCACAGTCAGGAAGTTCTTCTTAATGTTCAGGTTGAATCTCCTTTCCTGTAGTTTGAAGCCACTGTTCCGCATCTTCTACTTCTGAAAGTCAGCAATTAGTAATGGTTTGAGTAGATTCTAACATTGGCACTTTTTCCGTATGATTTGAGCATCTGTCTGATGAAGTAGGCAAAGCTTCAATAGCTTGTATGGCGTATTTTGTGCCTTTGACTTAGCCCAATAAAAGTACCACTGTTTGGTGTATTTCGCTGGGTGGCCAACACAGCTACTCCGATGAAATACTGGGCCCTTCCACACAGCCCTATATCCCAGAATATCAAGACTGGAAACCCCACAGTATCTGCTTTGAACTGGGTAATCTGAGACCACACTCAGATAAGGTAGGATTTCCTGCCTTGATATTCTGTGATATATAACTATGTGAAAGGACCCACTGTGGCCTTCAGACAGTATGTGTCCTCGTTCAACTCAGGAGAACTCATCCCCATCTTCCATGGCTTCTCTCATACCTTCCAACATTTCACAAATGTAAACCAGGATACATACAGGTGATCAAGAGGGTATTGATGAGGAAGAGTAGACAAGCTAGAAGATGTTGCAGCAGTTTGCTTTTGCCAGAGCCTACCGGGAAGTCAAAAGCACCATCACATGTCTCTTCTTCTCCACTGCTGGATAAAATAAGTGTTTACCAGTAGAAGCAAGTTAAAGGCAGAGGATGGAAGTTCAAGGAGGAGAGGGAAATTTAGACATTTTAAAAGTAGCTGGAAGGGTAGAATAGCTGAGAATAGCTGGAATATTGTGTCCAATTCTGGGCACCACAATTGAGGAAAGATATTGACAAGCTGGAAAGTGTTCAGATAAGGGCAACTAAAATGATCAAGGATCTGGAGAACAAGCCCTATATGGCTTAAGGAGCTGGGGATGTTTAGCCTGAAGAAGAGAAGGCTGAGAGGAGACATGATAGCCATGTATAAATATGTAAGAGGAAGTCACAGGGAGGAGGGAGCAAGCTTGTTTTCTGCTGCCCTGGAGACTAGGACGTGGAATAATGGCTTCAAACTACAAGAAAGGAGATTCCATCTGAACATGAGGAAGAACTTCCTGACTGTGAGAGCCGTTCAGCAGTGGAACTCTCTGCCCCGGAGTGTGGTGGAGGCTCCTCCTTTGGAAGCTTTAAACAGAGGCTGGATGGCCATCTGTCAGGGTGCTTTGAATGCATTACTCCTGCTTCTTGCAGGAGGTTGGACTGGATAGCCATGAGATCTCTTCCAACTCTATGATTCTATTATTCTAATTAATTGGGGTCATTTCCAATCAGGGAACTTGTAGAGTATGTCCTCACCACGTTCATTGAGAAACCTGGAGAAGGCCGGAAACTGCCCACGTCCTCCAAACGCCTCTGCATGATCCACCAAGGCCTCTCTCACAGTGTCATAGCCATACAAAACCACAATCCGCTGCATTCCCAGGTACACAGTGAACACCGGCCCATAGACCTCACTCATCTGCCAAGAGAAAGACAGAAATCCCCTATAAAGTAACCCATGGTCTACAAGTAACCATTTGTCCCCCTCATCTGAGAGAAGAAAGATGGAAGAATTGAGACTCACCTTGGTGAAGGTCTTCAACTGACTCCCTTGGTCCAGTTGTAGAATGTTCCCCAGGATTGGAAGTGGGGTGGGCCCAGGGGGCAGGAGAGCATTGACTCTTCTGCTCTTCCATGACAAGAGAAAGATGCAACTGACAAAGAGGAACACAAGGAGAAATATAGTGACCATGGGTGTCTTTGGAGGGTTACCTTCTCAGCAACAGATCTGCTTAAGCTTTCTGGAAGATTGCAAGGCTAACATATGTATTTAGAATCCCAGGGCAGACCCTCTTTGGTTATCCAGTAACTTCTTCCTTCAGGAGTTTCAGCCTCCCCTTCTCCCTCTTTTCTCAAACAAACTGGAGGATTTTGTAGCATGAGTCACTCTTCAGAACAAAAGCTTTGGCCCTGATCTTTGGTGAGTTACACCTAACCATGAAAATGTCTTTTTATAAAACAAGTCCAATCCTATTTATTTATTTATTTATTTATTTATTTACAGTATTTATATTCCGCCCTGCTCACCCCACAGGGGACTCAGGGTGGATTACAATGCATATATACATGGCAAACATTCAATGCCATAGACATACAACATATATAGACAGACACAGAGGCAATTTAACATTCCAGCTTTCCGGCTTCATGAGGGTATGCTCGATTCCGGCCACAGGGGGAGCTGTTGCTTCACTGTCCACTTGTGACACCGAGTCCTTGATGGAGTACTTCCTCATTCTTACATACGCTGCTGGAAGGCTTTATGGTATCATAAATTAGTTAAAGTAGCCTCCCCACATAAAGCGGTACATAAATTTCCTACGTGACAGATGCAACTGTCTTTCGGGCTTCATAAGTCAACAACAAGCTTAGACTATTAATGGTCGGGAGCTCACTCCGACCCAGGCTGGCTTCGAACTCATGACTTCTTGGTCGGTAGTAATTAAATGCAGCTGGTTACTAATTAGCTGCACCACAGTCCTAATTATGACCAGCGCTATCAAATACAAAAAGCCAAGATGTTCATAAAGATGAAATGAAAGAAAATCTCTTTTTTATAAAGGGCGTGTGGAGTACATGGTCTCATACCCATCAACATTGAACTAGGACCCATATCATTAAGCAACATCAGAATATGGTGAAGATGACCAACATTTTCAATGAGAGGAATATACAACATAGGAGAGGTTGTAGCAGTTGGGTTTTTTCTCCACTTCCTCCCTGCTAGATTCATAGAATCAGTGACCCCTTCTACACTGCCATATAATCCAGATTCTCAAAATAGATAACCCACATTATATGTTTACAACTGGATGATAAGAGTCTAGGTAAGGGTAAAGGCTTTCCCCTGACATTAAGCCCCGTTGTGTCGAACTCTGGGGGTTGGTGCTCATCTCCATTTCTAAGCTGAAGAGCCAGCATTGTCCATAGACACCTCCAAGGTCATGTGGCTGTGACTGCATGGAGCACTGTTACTTTCCCACAGAAGCAGTACCTATTGATCTACTCATATTTGCATGTTTTTGAACTGCTAGGTTGGCAGAAGCTGGGTCTGACAGTGGGAGCTCACACCACTCCCCAGATTCAAACCTGCAACCCATTGATCAGCAAGTTCAGCAGCTCATTGCTTTAAACCACTGCGCTGTTGCAACTCAGAGTAGGCTTCATCTTGCTCCCAAATACCACCACACAAGAGTTGTAGAGTTTGTAGTTTATTGAGGAGAAATCCAAGTCAAAACATAGAGTAAGCAATGCGAAGTTCCAAAGACAAATGTTAAATGCAAAACACAGTTCCAAAGGTCCTTAGGTAAGAACATAAAACATAATCCTTTAGGCAATGGTCAAACAAGAGTCCATGGTAAAAGCAGTGAAACACAAGTCCCAAGAATCACCATTCAGGAAGCCCAAAGCGAACTGCTTTAGAGCCAAGGTAATTCCATAGGAGCTTTCATGCTAAAAGCCACGTTGAACTGACACCTTCTCCTTGTTAACCAGAAGCCTAAATACAACAAGAAAACATTACGCTCTTGCCAGCATGAAAGCATTACGGTGACCTTTCACTGACCTGGCTTCTTTCTTGCTGGCTAGCCGCGAACTCCACCTGACCCACCAATCTAAACGTTCCTGCCTGCTCATTAAATCACTATCAAGGCTGCTGTCTTCTCTATCAGTATCAGCATGAGACAGCTGAGCAAGTGAAGGCCACTGCACCTGGTCGTTATCTACTTCGCTGACATTCTTTTCCCATGAGAACTGACTTGTAGACTCCTCTGGTGCAGTGTCTGCAAGAGGCACAGAAATCTGAATCCCATCATCCTCTTCATCAAGGAACATTTCAGGCTCACAAGAGGGTTCAGTTTCTGGCTCAGAATCAACTGAACCACAACATGCACCACCAGGGGCTCGGGAGTCTACACTGCCATAATCCTGCTCAAATCAGATAATCTGGATTTTATATGGCAGTGTAGATGTGTTGCAACCTAATATCACCAAACATCTGATGGGGCCAGAGAATAATAGAGTTGGAAGAGACTACATGAGCCATCTAGTCCAACCCTCTGCCATGCAGGAAAAGCACAAAAGTACAATCCAATATTAACTGAGTGCCAACTACTTTCAAACTCTGAAATTAGTTTGATGCAATGGAAGAAAGCTGAGAACAAGCAGGAAAAGTGGGAGGATGAAATAGAAAACTGAGACATTTTAAAAGCTATTGGAAAAGTGAACAGGCAGACAATGAATCACACATATTCCTGCCAAATTAAGACAGTTCGGAGGGATGGGAATGGCTATGCAGGAGAGAGGAGGGCTTCAGCAACTTATGTCAAAAAGAGAGACACACAAGCATAGTTAATCCACACCTGTGTAAATATGACGCAAGCCTTCGTCTGTAGGGATGCTTGACCTGTCAAGCATCCCTTATCCAGAATTCTCAAATATTCCAAAGTCCAAAATCGACCACATGGATAGCTTTTTTTTGTTGTTGTTGTGTCAGGAGCGACTTGAGAAACTGCAAGTCGCTTCTGGTGTGAGAGAATTGGCCGTCTGCAAGGACATTGCCCAGGGGACGCCTGGATGATTTGATGTTTTTCTCATCCTTGTGAGAGGCTTCTCTCATGTCCCCACATAAGGAGCTGGAGCTGATAGAGGGAGCTCATCCACCTCTCCCCGGATTCGAACCTGCGACCTGTCGGTCTTCAGTCCTGCCGGCACAGGGGTTTAACCCACTGTGCCACTGGGGGCTAAGATAGATAGCTGAGAGTTGCTTTCTGGTGGTTCAGTATACACAAACTCAGTTGTCCTTCCAAACAATATTACTACAAATATTGTATAAAATAATTATTAGGGCATGTGTATCTGGCATACACCACATAATAATAAATTTTGTGTTTAGACAAGGGTTCCATCTCCAAGACATCTCATGCACATACATGTTTATATAAATATCCAAAACTGAAAACATTTCTAGACCCAAGCATTTTGAGTAACAGATACTCAACTTGTACATGAAAACAAAATCCTACCAGATTCCTTGCCTGAGGGGCTCATAAGGACAGTGACACTTGGAACAAAATAACATAGATGAGAAAAGAAATGTTTGCAGAGCAATTCTCCTGTCAAGGGCAGGCATTACATCTATGTATCTGGCATGGATAGGGTGGCAGCTCAGCCATCAGCTGTGCTAACTGTGGTTGATGAATGACAAAAGAGGACACACACTGTTTGTCAAGTAAGAAGTGATGCAAGAAGACCTAGAAACGTATTTAAAAATGTTTCCTCCCAATATATATTCAGCAACTGATACCATTTGAAGACTACGAGGTATCAACGAGCACCAAGGATGGAGTTTTTCTTTGGCACCAAGATGGACTTCAGTGGAGCCTTCACCATTCTTTTGGCCATGGCCATATCATGCCTTCTCTTTCTCCATTTCTCCTCCAAAAAGAAGTATCGGACCCTGCCTCCGGGACCCACTCCACTGCCTTTCATTGGCAACATGCACCAAGTGGATGTTAAAGAGCTGATCAATTCTCTGAAAGAGGTAAGGCAATCTCCACCACTGCAGGCTTGGGATCCAGGTGATCAATTATTTTGGTAGTCAAAGAATAGCATGGCTTTGGGTTCAGCAAGGTGGGAAAAGATGCCCCTTTCAAAGGCTGATCAATGGCAATGTGGACCACTGAAAAAAATATATAGCAGGTCATCTTATGACCATGAGATCCCACAATCATGGAAATGACAGGGCGGCGCAAGGATAATCTAGTACAGCCACCTGCCAATGCTTTAAATCCAAACTAAAGCTAATTAAGCAGCTATCTAATTTCTATTCAGAAATCTCCAGCAAAGTCCACCATCTTCTAAGGACGCATCCACACTGTAGAATTAATGCAATCTGATATCACTTTAACTGCCATGACTCAAGGCTATGCAATCCTGGGAGCTGTAGTTTGGTAAGGCACCGAGACCCTTTGGCAGAAAAACACACACAGAGAGAGAACTCTCAGGATTCCATAGCATTGAGCTTGGGAAGTTAAAGTGGTATCAAAGTGCATTAATTCTGTTGTGATAGTCTAAACCCCACCCCACTTCCTCATCTCACTGCATTATATGTCTACACCAGTGCTTCCCAACCTTGGGCCATGGCCCACTGGTGGACTGCGAGACCTAAAATTAGGTCTGCGGCTCTAGATTATTAAATATGGTTTTCTGTGGGCTAGCAGATGCCAAACACAAGAGCTATAATGAGAAAGTAGCCCTTTGTAAGATCCTGTTTAGTACCCCAAAGTAGTAGTAATTGTAATAATAATAATAATAATAATAATAATAATAATAATAATAATAATAATAATAATAATAATAATCTCCCATTGACAAGAGTTACAATGGAAGAGTTACAAGAGTTACAATGGAAAGCAGTCCTCTGTAAGACACTGTTTGGTCCCTCAAAATAACTATTACTATTAATATTACTATTAGCTCCTATTGCCAAACACAAGAGTTTTAATGGGAAAGCAGCCCTTTGTAAGACCCTGATTAGTCCCCCCAAAGTTATTATTACTATTATTAAAGCCATTAGGGACAGTTTCCTGGGCCTTGCACCTTGCTTTTGAGGCCTGTTCCTGGGATTATTTGGGGTGCTAATTCAGAAAATTGCATTGGATAGACCACATCAGCTCTAGATTATTAAATATGGTTTTCTGTGGGCAAGCAGATGGTGACTACTGGATGGCATATGTTCTGTATCAGAAACTAGAGCTGATGTGGTCTATCCAATGCAGTTTTCTGATTCAGTACCCCAAATAACCAAAACAAATCTAAAATTGACCAAAAAGTGATTTCTAATCCTTTTGGTACTAATGTTGGAGAGTGGTTTCTGGTCAAAATGGTCCCTGGTCAAAAAGAAAGGTTGGGAACAACTGGTCTACACTGACCATATACATTTTTAGACTTCATTTGGCCGCACTTCAGTTAGTACAAACAGAATTCAAAATGCAAAAACTGTTTGCACTTCACTAAATGTGCCTTCTGAAATAAAACAAATTGAAAACAAATTAGTTATGTGTCTGCATAACACATTCCTTATATGTCTGTTATGTGTCTGCAGGTCAGCTTTGACTTATGGCAACACTTTTTAACATTTCCTTGGAAATATTTATTCAGAGGAGCACAGTTGCCAGGCCTAAATAATACGCTAAAGGTGCCAGATTCCCATTGATTTTAGAAGTTAAGCAGGGTCAGTCCTGGTTAGTGCTTGGGTGGGAAATCACCAGTTCATATCAGGTGCTATGGGCTATATTTCAGAGGAATAAAGTGGCAAAACCACTTCTGAATATTCCTTGCCTTGGAAAACACGTAGTCAATATCAATCAATAGGCAACTTGAAGCCATAACCTACACATAATGTCAGTTTAATACTATCTCAATCACTGAAATTATAAATAGTGAAACTTGAAACCCAGGGATGATCCTTGTGATAGCTTTATGGTAGTGATGGGATTGGTGATGTTATAAGATTGATATCATGGGGGCAGGCCCGTACCCAGGATTTCGATTTGGGGAGGGGGCCGAGTTTGTTGGGGGGGGGCTGAGTCTGAGTGAAAGAGGGTCTAGCCTAGCAAACCTTTTGTATCATTACCCCAATACCCCCATGCATATGGGATATATTGAGTATGGTGATCATATCATGATATGAATAAACATAACAGTTTAAATAATGCACCAGTAAGGCCTTTTCGCGAACCACCATGAGAATTTCGGGGGGGAGCTGAAGCCCCTCAAGCCCCCCCCCCCCGGCTACATGCCTACATGGGGGCCACCCCTGATGAGACCATTGTGATACATTAAACATCAGTCACAGCTGTACAGAGTAAGCCGTTCAAACAGTATGTCCAATCTACCAAGGAAATTAGATATATACTCACCTTTAAGGTATAGTCCCAGCCCTGAGATTCCTTCTCCTCATTTCAGAGGAGTGGACTCATGCCAAAATTCAGACACTCCAAGAATATGCACCACACAAAAGCTCTAATGGTGTGTACGCACAATTCCAGCTGGAGCCACACATCCTGTATCAGTTTTCTCCTTTCTTCCTAGCTCAGCAAGACCTATGGTCCGATGTACACCTTCTACTTGGGCTCTCGACCATGTGTGGTCCTGTCTGGCTACCAGGTGCTCAAAGAGGCCTTGATTGACAAGGCAGAAGAGTTCAGTGGCCGAGGTGACTTCCCTGCTGTCCAGATGTGGAGCAAAGGAAATGGTAAGAGCCAGGGTCAAAGTAAGCCATTTGATCCTATAACGCTTACTCCAGAGGCCATAGATGACCATGGTATTGATAACATTGGTTGCTATTCTGAGGGAAATGAACACTGTTCATGGCCAAAGGATATATGTTTTCCATGAAACTTTGCATTGACAGGAGATGCAGGAATGGGTACTTATTTCAAAGTCAGTTCTGGGTTCAACAGTTCTGGGGTCAATCCTGTGAAGATGCTGCCACCAATTGTACAGGTGCTAGCCAATTGTACAGGACGCACGCACCAAATGTACAGGTGTGGATGATTATGGAGGGAATTAATCTCAGGCCTCAATTGTGTATAAGAATTTGTTATAGAGGAGGCCTGTTATTGTTTGTAAATTAAGGTAACTGCCACCAACGTGAGGTATTTGAGGTACCACCGATGAGATCTGGCTCTACAGATGCAGATTAATGGAGATGAGACGGTCTTCAACAAAAGATAACAAGTTTATTGTGTACAAAGCGTATGGTTGCAGGCTGTTAAATAACTTATAGAACTTTGAATAACACTTGGTTTGTAATACAGTCCACTCTCACAGATGACACAGCTCATGGCTAACTTTTACTGAGGTGAAGCACTTTGGTGAACAAGGTTTCCTAATATGAATAGCCTTCCAATTTGATCTTTCCTTGATCAAATCCCTGATCTCTAGTCCTTCCTCGACTAGGGATCTTAACAAGCTTCCTTTAGTCTACTTTAACTAAAGAAACTGGTCAGGTTTCTCCCTTCAACCCTCCTAGACTGAAAAACCTCCAGCTATTCACACACACCTCTCTCCCAGGCTTTTCAAGCCTCTCACTTTCACACACTGACTCTCTGATTCAGACTGCCCCTTTTCCAAAGATGCACATAACTTCTCCTCCTTGGCTCCGCCCACTTCTCACTCTCCTGCGCTAGCCTGCCTGGTCTCCTTGGCAACGCTTACTGTGGATTCAAACCAGATAACTCTAGTTTTGGCTACTGTTACAACACAAACATATACTCTAACAGTTAAACATATACATAGTATCAATGACTTCTGCACAAATCCACTCTGGCATAATTTGGATCAAGTGATTAGGAGTTGCACAAGAGAGGTGATAAAGGCATTGCATATGTATGCCTTCATCATTTCAGGGCCATACCTATTAAACAGTGTCAACATTCAACATCTCTGTGCATAAATCAATCACTGTCCCAATGGAGAATCTTTCGGGATGACAACACATGGCTACCACAAGTTGGTGCTCTCAATTTTATTTGTTGTCTCTATGGTTCTCAAAATATTTGATAGTGAGAATGGAATATGTCACGGGACCAAAAAGCTTAGGTGAATAATGAATGCAGTGGTTCTTTCATAGCAGAGGAGAGCATCTACATGTTTCTTAATGAACAGATATTGATTATCCCACCACAATGACAACCTCATCACAAGTGAAAAAATAAGCATCCTAGGATGTTTCTGCCCCACTTCACTCACAGATCCCTGTGCCACCCATCAGACAACATAGACTGACTTTCTGAGTGGCTCTGTGGGTGAAATGGGGTGGCAGTGTAGTACGATGCTGCACCGCCTATACAGTAACCCCCCCCCATGTTTCATTAGGAATAATGGGGCTACCACAGGATTAAGCCGTGCAGCAATGCTTCCCCATGTGTGATAAGGAAGCATCAGCTGCTGACCAAGGCATTGGGATTGTCCCACTGCCACCCCAATTCATCATGGAGACTGGTGAATTGCAAGGCTGGATCTCATCCATGTTATGAGATCCTCACTGCTGTGGCCCAGCCACCTACTTGATCCCTTTTTCACCCAAGTACCACACAGATGAATAGGAATAGTAAGTTTATTAAGAAAATAGTATATAAAATAAAAAAAACAGTTTCAAAATACATGAGCTAGATTTACGGATACTTAATAAAAAGCAATGACCAACTCTGAATAGGAATTCCAAAAATCACTTGAGACAAAAACAAGAAACTGTAATCCAAGGGTTGTTGCCCTTAAACTAGAATTATATCCAAAGCCTTGAAAGCATGAACACCCCCATAATCCAAAGGCTTGATACTTGAACTTGACTATAATCCCAAAGGCTTGAAACTCAAAACAAGATTTGTAATCCAATCAGGAGCCATGGAACTTAAACAGGGAAACAAGATATAAACCCAAGAACAGAACTCCTAACTCGGAGCTCCCAAGACAGGCAACTTGACACATGAAATCCAATGTTGATCTCCCCACCAAACATTGACTCCAATTTCTTAAGAATGCTCTCTCTGGCCCATGATATCATTCTTTCTCACACCTGGGTTCCCTTTGTTTATTGTTCAGTCTCTGGGAAATATACCAGATTTGTCTGTTTCACACTATCTCATCTGATCTGTAAATGCTGAGTTATCTGTAATACTCCTGTCTCTTTCACATTCCCTTCAGAGTCAACCCCTGGCCAATTTTCATAAGAACCGCTGCCTGTTTCCCCAACAACAGTTCTACCCAAAACATTCCCATCGTCTCGAAAAACATTGTCATTTTACCCACAGAAATACCAGACTCAACCAGAAAATCCTCGCCCTCATCCTCAGACGGTTCACAGGCCTCAACACTCACTAGGCAAGAGTTTCAAGCTATGTATAAGTATATCCTCTGTCTTCCCCTGGCTTTCTGTGTAGGAATCGTGTATGGCACTGGAGAGTGTTGGAGGCAGTTGCGCAGGTTTGCTATCACCACTTTCAAGAACTTTGGGATGGGAAAGCGATCTATGGAAGAGCGGATCAAGGAGGAGGCCCAATTCCTGGTAGCTGAATTCCACAAAATGGAAGGTGGGTTTTTATCTATTTTCTGTGTGTTTTTTTCAAAGTACTTCAGGATAGGGAAATGTTTCTTTACTAAAATCTAACTTATTTTAAGGACAAAGGAATTAGGTCAGATAGTATTAAAGAGAAGCATGCTGGTTATATTAACCTGAACCTGGTTTCTTTGACTAGACTTCCCAGAGGGTTGGATTTTGGTAGTGTGTGCAGTTTATGAAGGATCTCAGGGCAGAAAACACAATATACTGCCCACTTACTACTGAAAACAGTCTACATTTTAATAAAATTATATATTAAAAAACACATACAACAACAACAACCCACATTACAATCAACGTTAAAATAAGCAAGGTGTTACATTATGATTAAAATAAGCCAGTGTCTCTTTTGTATAATGTATGGCCTGAGATATTAGTTTCTCTCTTTCTTGTACAAGTTACAACTAAACAACTAAAACTAAACAGTATATATGGGACATCTTCTACCTTGACACTCCAGAGATACAAAATCATTCATTATATGGAAATTGTTTAAACCTTCCAGGTTTGACCTATTGTATCCCGTTGTTCAAATCTAGTTCTGGTGAATACCCTCCTGAGGTGTTTAGACATTTCTGTCTCAGATATTGGGCTGTTTGAAAAAGCATGTTTAAAATGACTTAGCCATTTCAATGAGCCAGTTTTACTGAGGGTAGCAATGTCTTTCTGAGCTTCTATATCCAGTATTTATTGTGCAACCATTTTTGGATCTAGTTCTTCTAGGAGATTTGGATACACTTGCCATGATGTTCAATTTTACCCAGTAGTTGTATGCCTTATTCACAGGGAAACCCTTTGACCCCACTTTCTGCTTGAGCTGTGCTGGTTCCAACATCATCAGCACTCTAGTTTTTGGAGATCGGTTCGAATACACCGACGAAAAGTTCCTGACATTGCTTGACCTCATCAACAACAACTGGAAGCTGATGAGCTCAACCTGGGGGCAGGTAAGGCCTTGCTTGGAGGTTATGGGATCACTGAAAGTAAAACTTTGCCATGGGTTAGGTTTACTTACAATAACACCTACTCATCTTCAAAAGCAAATTATTGAGGATCTTTCCTAAAGGTCCCTTAAATATGCAAAAAAAAAGATTGCCATTTTTAAACTTTTATTGAACTAAAACTAATTGCCATATATACTCAAGTATAAGCCGATCCAAATATAAGCTGAAGCACCTAATATTACCACAAAAACTGGGAAAACTTATTGACTCAAGTATAAGCCAGGGGTGGGAAATGCAGCAGCTACTGGTAAATTTCGAAATAAAAATAGATACCAATAAAATTGCATTAATCTCCCCATGGGGACTCAGGCCAGCTTTCAAGATAGTAACAGGCAAATATTCAAAGTCCATATAAACAATGCAGAGCTAAATATAGATCTATAATTATATATACTAATTTCACTTATGCATTTCCCCCTGAAACATTTGCAAATCCTCTCTATATGTGCCTTTCCTTCCTGCAATATTTGCAAGCCCTATATATCTATATTCATATATATCTATCTAGAAATCTCTCTATATATAGATAATTATATCTATATAGAATTTGCAGAGACTTGCAAACATGTGAGGGGGAAATTCATATAAAAATAATGTATACATATAGATACAGATGTACAGGTACGTGGAAATCTCTAGATAGCTATATGTATATAGGATTTGCAAAGACCTGCAAATATATGAAGGGAAAACTCCCAAGGGAATCAAATTCTCATTTAAAGTTAATACATTTAGATACACACAAAAAGCCAGGAAATTAGGTAGGTTTGAAAGAGAGCCATACAAACAAGAAGGATATGAAATATATCTCATTTTCCTCTTCCCTCCCTTTTGACTGAAAAAGAAAACACATTGTTAGGAGAGGTGAAGAGGAGAGAGAAATATGTCATATATTGCAAGCAATTGCCTCCAGGCTCCACTGCCTGGCCTTGACCTTGAACCCATTATAAGCCAAGGGAGATTTTTTTTCAGCTCAAAAAAAATGCTGAAAAAAATCAGCTTATCTTCGAGTATATATGGTAATGCCATTCTGCTGGGCTGACGAAGATAAGGTGAACTAGAAGGGTTATTGCTATATGGATGGCATTGGCAATGAGAACATTTGGAGTACCTTCCTGGTTGACCATCTTTAGGGGTGCATGGAAGAGCTTTTGTTAGAACAAGAAATATAATTGCACTCTTCATCCCAGGCTGCCATGTCAATAAACAAGGATGTGAGCTTAAATTTGCAGTGAGACTATTTCAGTCTTGTTACAAGAGGCACAAGGGAAGTAGCTGTTCCATTCTAAAAACTTCCAGAACTGGAAGAACATATCAGCAGATATTCTTTTGTTTAAACTTTTACTACTTGAATCCTTTGCTTTTGACCTTATAATGGGCCTCTCTCAATGTGGAAGGTTTTCACATGTGCTTATGGACTTGCTAGCCTCTAGGACAGTGGTTCTCAACCTTCCTAATGCCATAACCCCTTAAAACCGTTCCTCATGTTATGGTTATTCACAACCATTTTTTTTTATTGCTACTTCATAAATAACAGTAATTTTGCTACTGTTATGAAATGTAATGTAAATATCTGATATACAGGATGTATTTTCATTCACTAGACCAGATTTGGCACAAATATCCAATATTCCCAAATTTGAATACTGGTGGGATTGGGAGGGATTTATTTTGTCATTTGGGAGTTGTAGTTGCTGGGATTTATAGTCACCTACAATCAAAGAGCATTCTGAACTCCACCAATGATGGAATTGAACCAAATATGTCATATAGGACTCCCATGGCCAACAGAAAGCACTAGAAGGGTTTGGTGGACATTGACCTTGAGTTTGAGAGTTGTAGTCCACCTACATCCAGAGAGCACTGTGGATTCAAATAATGATGGATCTGGAGCAAACTTGGCAGGAACACTCAATATGCCCAAATGTGAATACTGGTATAGTTTGAGGAAAATACACCTTGACATTTGGAAGTTTTAGTTTCTGGGATTTAGTTTACCTACAATCAAAGAGCATTCTGAACCCCAGATACGATAGAATTGGGTTAAACTTCCCACACAGAACCCCCACGACCAACAGAAAACACTGTGTTTTCTGATGGTCTTTGGCAACCCCTTGGACACCCCCCTCATGATCCTCTGAGGGATCCCAACCCCCAGGTTGGGAATTGCTGACCTAGAACACTCTTCTATTTATTGCAGTCCAATTATACTGGTTTGGAGAACTGGTACATAAATACTCTGCTAGACATATCGACTGCATCCATAAAGTTCCCTGTAAAAATTGCTTTCTGTCATCATGGCCACCCTGCTTTGGTGTAATTACACTGATCCACCTGAAATTGTGCACAGCCTGTGATTTTGCACTTTGTCTCCTTCACTGTAGATGCTGTTCACCTTCCCAAAGATCATGAAACACATCCCTGGCCCTCATCAGCAGATCTACAAGAACTACCTGAAGCTGGCAGCGTTTGTGGGGGAACGTCTGGAAATGAACAGGCAGACTCTGGACCCCAATTCACCACGGGATTTCATTGACTGTTTCCTCATCAAAATCCAGCAGGTACCCTCAGAACCTCAGCATGGCAGCTGAGCCTCTCTTCCTCTTTCTTAAAGGGAACTTGGGAACTATAGCTCTGTCAATAGGAGCCAGGTGGTCAAGCATCTCAAATCATATCTCTGTAGCATCTGCAGTATAATACAATTCCCAGAATTCTTTAGAGCAGGGATTCTCAAACTTTTTCAGCTGTGGAGCCCTTTTTTGAAGCAAAAGTTTCTCATGGAGCCCCAAGAAATGTTTATATATTATATTATGTATTATATATACTGTGTGTTGTATCAGGCAAGCGCTGGGCCAGTGGTAGATGAATGGAGAGTGTGCATGTGGACTAACTCACACGGTGCAAAAAAAGGAAAAAGAGAACAATATAGGGAAGCCCGGAGTCCTCGGTTTGCTTCGCGGAGCCCTAAAGACTCCATGGAGCACACTTTGAGAACCACTTCTTTAGAGAAAAGCCATAACAGTTTAATTGATATATAACTGTTGTAGATTTGCTGAATGCCTCTATCTTTGTGTCCAAGCTTTACCATCTCCAAGGATGCATCTACACCACAGAATGAATGTAGTTTGACATCACTTTAACTGCATGGTTCAATGCTGTGGAATCCTGGAATTTGCAGATTGGTGAGGCATCAGCACTCTTTGACAAAGAAGGCCTTTCATGATTCAATAGTATTGAGCCACGGCAGATAAAGTGGTGTCAAACCACATTCATTCTATAGTGTAGCAGCCTTTTTGGATAAATACAGCAGTCTTGCTTATCCAACCTTTGCTTATCCAACGTTCTGTATTATCCAATGCAGTCTGCCTTCCACCCAGATCACAGCTGTCTCAATACATTGCAATGTTTTGGTGCTAAATTCATAAATAAAATAATTACTACATTATTACCATGTATTGAACTGCTTATTCTGTCGACTTGTTGTAAAACATGATGTTTTGGTGCTTAATTTGTAAAATCGTAACATAATTTAATGTTTAATTGGTTTTTTCTTAGTCTATCCTTATTATCCAATATTTTTGCTTATCCAACATTCTGCCGACCCGTTTATGTTGGATAAGCAAAACTTATACCCACTGTACAGTATGTTTAAAGGTGCCAGAAATACAGAGTGAGATCTGTAACCTGCACCCAAATTTCCTGGGTCATCATAGCAGGTGTTTCTCCTAATCTTTTGAAAGATTCAAAAAACAAATGTGGGAACATTCGATTCAGTCATAGGTAAGTTACATCTCTTCCAGCCTCTGCCTTCCTACCTGGACAATGACCGTATCAGTGATATATTACAAAGGAGTATCAATTGGTATATGAGGTACAAAAAAAGCTGGAAATTATTTTCTGTTGTTGTCTCCTTCCTGCAGGAAAAGAACAACCCGAACACCTATTTCAATGAAGACACCATGTCAAAGACCACTGTGAACCTTTTCTTTGCTGGGACAGAGACTGTCAGCTCGACCTTGAAATATGGGCTCCGCATTCTCCTGAGGCACCCTGAAGTGGAAGGTGAGCTGGGAAGATGGGCTGAAAGGTGACTAGCTAGGCATGTTTTGGCTGCATAGTCCTTCAGTTGCAAGTTTTGGAGTAGCTGGACTTTCTCTTCAGTTCTATGATTCTGTGCTGAGAGCAGAAGAGGTACATGCTGAAAGGTTGGAGGAACATCTTCTCTTCAAAGTAAAGTGATGGACACATGGATAAGTAGAAGTAGAAGCCATGTATTAAGAATGGGGAACTCCAGTGCAGGGCCACATGATGGAAAAGAAAACTGAGCAAATTTTACACTCCTCAAGCTGGACCACATCAAAGTAGATTGTTCTAGATCAATGGTTCTCAATCTGTAGGTTCCCAGATGTTTTGGCCTACAACTCTCGGAAATCCCAGCCAATTTACCAGCTGTTAAGATTTCTGGGAGTTGAAGGCCAAAACATCTGAGGACCCACAGGTTGAGAACCACTGTTCTAGATCATAGTTCGGAAAGGTTCCTTGGTTTGGCAAGAAGCAACAAACTAAAATTAAGTTGGAAATCTGCAAGAGTGAAAGAACAACATTCCATTTACTTTTTTGTAAATTTACCTGATTTGGCATTTCAGTGTTAATGTTTCTACATAACTAGGTTATGCTGTTGTTGTGAGCCTTCAAGACATTTCCAACTTATGGTGACCCTAAGGTGAACTTATACCAGGGTTCTTTGGGCAGGATTTGTTCAGAAGATGTTTGCCATTGTCTGAGGGTGATTTATCCAAGGTCTCCCAGTGGTTTGGCTGAGCAGGAATTCAAATCCTGTTCTCCAACTCTGTAATCTGTTCAAACCATTATAGAGATGAATTTGGGGCTGTGTGGTCAAAAATAGAGTTTTCACACATTTATGCAGCTATTTCCTTCTTGCCACATTCAGCAAAGAAGTAACCTAATAGAAGGGATTTTTCACTCTTATTGTGATATAGCTTTCGCCGTGGCAAGGTAATATAGAATTACAATTAACTAAATACATTTTTAAAAGTCTGATTTTCAATGAAAATACAATTAATTTTTTCAACATCAGTGTAGTAGCCTCCTAATTTTAATGCAAACTTCGCTATCTCTACCATTTTCCCCATCTCTGTCTAAATTACAACTCTAAAAATTATAGAGTCTGGTCTTGCTACCTAATGGATTTTGGCCTCTGTGATCTGCAATAGTAAGCTCTGCTTGAAATGAAAGGGTTGAAGTGACAACCTCCTTGGCCTTTGCAGTGCTTTCTCTCCTCCTTCACCCAAAGCAAGTCCCTGCCTTTAATGTATGCTTTCCTATCCATACTCACCCAGTTCCCTGGCTGTAGAATACAACCTCAGGACTTTTTCCACTATTCTCTTCTTCACAGAGAAACTCCATGAAGAAATTGACCGAGTCATTGGGCCTAACCGCAGTCCATGCATGGAAGATCGGATCCGGATGCCATACACGGATGCCGTCATCCATGAAATCCAGCGCTACGCTGACATTGTTCCCATGGGAGTGCCCCATACGATCACGCGGGAGATTGACTTCCGTGGATACACCCTCCCCAAGGTTTGGAAAACTGAAGGAACCGTCTTATACAGGGAATCATATTCATATAGTACTTTCATCACCCTTCATCAATCTAGATCAGTGGTTCTCAAACCATTTTTTGACCAGGGACCATTTTGTCCAGGGATCACTTTACCAGGGACCACTTTGATCCAGGACCACTCTCCAACATTAGTACCAAAATGGTTACAAATCAGTTTTTGGTCAACTTTAGATTCGGTTTGGTTATTTGGGGTGCTGATTCAGGAAATTGCATTAGATAGACCACATCCACTCTAGTTTCCGATGCAGAACATATGCCATCCAGTAGTTGCCATCTGCTTGCCCGCAGAAAACCATATTTAATAATCTAGAGCTGATGTGGTAGTAGTAATCTTTTGTGGGTAGTCAGCCTCTCCCCTCCCTGTTACCTCAGCATTATAAGAGGATTTTGCGACACTAGTCACTCTAGTTGCCACGTGGTTTTGAGGTAACAATGTAGTAATGGTGAGGCTTTGGACCATATTTTCGTTCTTGCAGACCACTAGTGGTCCATGGACCACAGGTTGGGAACCATAAGGCTGATGTGACCTTCAATGAAAATGAATTTGACACCTTTGTTCTATATAATCTGAGGGTGCACCTAAATTTATGCTTTTTGACCCCAGTTTGTCTGCAATGGTTCAATGCTGTGGAATGTATTGCAATTACACTTTGGTGAAACACCATCTCATTTTGACAGAGAAGGCTAAAGATTACAACTCCATTGATTCCAACTCTCTAAATAGGTTGCCAGCACACATACACAGGCTTTAACATTGAAAATATATTTTGGCACTTTCAGATTTTTTTTAGGTTTTTGGCACACCAAAATGTATTTGCAATAGAAAACTATCCACCAAACGAATTAAAATCATTCACTCCTGATCTACATGGAAAATACTCTACTTAAGCTATCTCCTTTATTTTTACACAAGCTTATTTACCCAGGATTGTTTGGATTTGTGTTTTGCAATAGTATTTAATACTAAAAATAATTGCTAGTTTTATGATTGTTCAAAACACAAGGCAATACTTTCTCTGTCCCTCGGGAAGTAAGCACACCTGACTCTTTCAGGTCTCCATGGCAACTCTCTACTGGCTTCTTGGAGTAATAGCTGATTATTATCCTCCAGTGACCTTTTGGGGTAACAACTGGCTAATTCCCGCTGCCTTCCAGTGACTTCCTGGAGTAACAGCTGGCTCTTTCCTGTGATACTCCAGTGACCCTTAGAATAATAGCTGTTTCTTTCTTGTGACCCTCCAGTGACCCCCTTGGGGTAACAGCTGGCTCTTTCTTGTAACACTTCAGTGACTTCCAGGGGTAACAGCTGGCTTTTCCCCACAGCCCTCCTGTGACCCCTTGGGGTAACAGCTGGCTCTTTCCCAGGGCCCTCCTTGACCCCTTGTTGTAACAACTAGCTCTTTCCCACAGCCCTCTTGGGGTAACAGCTAGCTCTTTCTAGCAGCCCTTAATTGACAGGCATGTGATGTATGTGAACCCTCTCTGCTTGTCTAACAGTGACTCCATTGTTGTAACCCATATTTTCTTCCTTCTTCTTTTTGTGTTTCTCTTCCTCCAAACCCAGGATCTCAACATCATCCCATTGCTCTGCACATCTCAGTTTGACCCAACACAGTTCAAGAACCCAAACCACTTTGACCCAACCCATTTCCTGGATGAGAATGGGCGGTTCAAGAGGAATGATGCATTTATGGCTTTCTCTGCAGGTGAAAAAACATTTTCATAGCCAATATGGTACAGCAATTAGAACACCAGACTGGATTTTGGGGGAGCCAAGTTCCAATGTTCCCTGAGTCATTATACTGAGCCATTCACTCCCACTTAGCCTATCACATAGGGTTGTTGCTGGGATGAAAGTGTGAAGAAGAGCAGAGTTGGAAGAGAGTCCAGGGGCCATCTAGTCTAATCCTCTTTTATAATGACTTAAACAACTAAAGCAATCTTTAAAGATGACTTTCCAACCTCTGTGTAAAAAAGTGCCAAAGAAGGAGAGCCTTTCATAATTATTACACATGTTGCAGCTGCAGACTCCCATGTCAGTGGGGCAATGAATCCACTCCAAGATTTAGTTTGAGCTCAAAGGAGCTATCCAATGTCCTGAGCCCTATCTCTAGCATCATAGTCTAGAGTGGATTCTTGGTCTCATTGATGTTCAAACTGCCAGCTGCTCTTGCTCCCTACACCTTTGTTGTGACACATGCTGGTGTTTCCAATGTTTCTGAATAGATACATCAACATTGCACGTTATAGAGCAAGATTCTATATCAAAGATACTGAAAATAGCATTTCTGTCTCTGTGTTACATGGCAGATGTCCAAAACCTGTCCCTTAGTGAATTGCAACATTTCACAACTAAATGTACATTGTTCATTGATGCACATGCACAATGCATATCAATGTGCAATGGCCATCTTTCATCAACCCATTTACAATGCATCTATTTAGATGGCCATGCAACCATGCATGAGCATTTGTAATATGCATCAACTTGCAATGGAACCACTCCCATACCTGAAACATTAATACCTCTATGCAAAAACATGATCTTCAGATGAAAGGCAACTTATGCCTCCACACATCACCAGCAGTGTATTATAAGCCCTCTGGAGAGAAAGATTCACACATGAGGCATTTTGATAGTGAAACCTAATCTTTTGCAATGGTGCAAGAATTCATATGTGGGACTTATGAGATACTCTCCATATTGTATTGTTGAAGGCTTTCATGGCTGGAGTCACTGGGTTGTTGTAGGTTTTTTGGGCTATGTGGCCATGTTCTAGAAGCATTCTCTCCTGATGTTTCACCTGCATCTATGGCAAGCATCCTCAGAGGTTGTGAGGTCATTGCTTTTTTTGACCTCACAACCTCTGAGGATACTTGCCATAGATGAAGGTAAAACGTCATGAGAGAATGCTTCTAGAATATGTCCATAAAGCCTGAAAAACCTACAACAACTCTCCATATTTTCCTTATATTTTCTGTCATTTCTTTCCCTCCCTCTTCCTCCCATCCTTCCTTACAGGGAAGCGAGTGTGCCTGGGTGAAAACCTTGCCCTCATGGAACTGTTCATCTTCCTCACCACCATCTTGCAGAACTTCAAGCTGAAACCCCTGATGGACCCCAAGGACATTGACATCACTCCAGAGTCCACTGGGCTGGGGAGCATCCCTCGACCCTACAAATTTTGCCTCCTGCCCCGATGAACCCCACCCCAACTTGTGGAGAAGGATAGCTAGCTCATTCCCATTTCATCTGCCCTCCAGATGCTGAGGAAAAGCTCTGCTTCCTCCTCCGTCTCTGAGTTGGTTTCCTTCTTGAGCTAGGAAGCTGCTCCCCTTGCATCATTGCTTTTTTGGTTGCTTTCCATTCTCTTATCTGATGTTGAAACAGGTCCTCCTCACCTCTTTCCCAACAACACTCCTCCACCACCCTCCACCCTTCACCATTTGTTGATTCCAGAGGTCCTGCTGATAAAAGATAACCTTAATCTTTCTCAGGTCCACACCCACCTTCTCTTCTTACTTTGGATCAATTCCCTCCTTTGATGTTGTCATGAGGAGTAGCATGTTCCTCTGTTTTTCCATAGTTGAGGAGCATGATGGGGAAATTGGATTTGTCTTCATGACGTGCTGATGGACTTCCCCTTGGTCTCTGTAGGACCAGAGAGGCCTCCTTTGCTCTATCCAAGTAGGAGTGTTTGAGTCCTTACATATATGGTTGGTTCCTCTCTTCGTCTCCCTTCAGGCTCCATGCTTGGCTTCTCCAACCTGTTTGTGAAAAGCTTTTAAGTGATCAGTGGAAGATTCAAACTGATTTACTACTAGGGTTGAATGAAAAGTAATGCCTCCACCTTCGTAACTCCTCAACAGATGGCAGTACTGGTATGCGGCAGGTACTGGTTTGTTCAGTAGACTCTCCTCTACAGTTCCATTTTGGCGGGAAGCCTTAGCATTGAATGGTTGTGTTGTTAAAGTGCGATGTATGGAACCCTGTGCAGACGGTCAGTCAATACAACTTAAGCAGTGTGTAGTCATTGAATTCTTGACAGCAGAAGGTGTCACCCAAAGGGGATACATCAGAGAATGCAAGCTGTTTATGGTGATTGTGTTGATGTGAGTACTGTGTGTCATTGGATGAGAAAGTTTAAAGATATTGAGGTGGGAACATCTGACTTGCATGACAAACAAAGAGTTGGACATCCTGTGACAGCAACCACTGAGTTTCACAAGCAAAAGGTTGACAGATTGATTCAAGACAATTGTCGTATCACTCAGAGAGAAATTTCAAGCATAGTCAGCATTTCACAAGAACATGTGGGTCACACTATTGCTTTGCTTGGCTATTTCGAAGATCTGTGCACAATCGGTTGCGAAAATAGATTGTTGACTTCTTCCATGACGGCTTCAGGAAACTTCTTCATTGTCGGCAGAAATGTATCCAATTGTCTTGTGATTATGTGGAAAAGTGAATAGTGGTAGTTAAAGAGCACATTCTAAGGATTATTTCTGCATTTGATTTATTAAAATATTCCCATCCAAACCCAAGTAACGAAGGTGGAGGCATTACTTTTCATTCAACCCTTGTATATTTAGGCAAGGCTTTCCTAACCTGATAGTTTCATTTCATTTGCACATATCTTGCTTTGAATAAAAAAATGCTCAAACAGCATAAATTAGTCTCTTTTTATAGTGTAGGGACGGATACTAATTGCTTCCATCTCATGTTTACCTAATTTTCTGCTAAAGAAGCAATGACCAGGAACACATTGACTCCATTTACGGAGGTTTACCAGTATGTGAGAATTAACCATTCTCTCTGGTTCGATTCATCCCTTTGCAGAAAACAGGCTCATTGCTGAAGAAGTCAAATGTCAGAGTGTAGAATGGCACGGGATTGTATGTTTGCCTTTCGTAACCAAGCAGCATTTGCATCATCGAAGATGTCCTAAGCAGCCAATGCAGTCATGCTTGTGAGCTCCTTTCAGGGGGGAGCATGATTTATTCATTGCTCAAGAAAGCAAGGCTCCAACCTTGCACCAAGGAGGCAGCCCCAAAAGCAAATACCATCCATCCCCTTCAATGGGGGAGTTCATTATCAGCAAATGCTTACTCTATCTTCCTCACATGCACTGAATAATATTTCCACAGAGCAAAAGGAGATGATGCTAAGCAGGCCCGTAGCCAGGATTTCGTTTCAGGGGGAGGGGCTGAATTTTTTTCAGGGGGGTTCGGGGGGGCTGAGTTTCGGGGGGGCTGAGTCTGAGTGAAAGAGGGTCTAGCCTAGCAAACCTTTTGTATCATTGCCCCAATACCCCCATGCATATGAGATATATTGAGTATGGTGATCAGATCATGATATGAATAAACATAACAGTTTAAATAATGCCCCCCCCCCCCCCGCCTGATGCTAAGGCAACTGAAGGTGATCCCAACTTGCAAATGTAGTAAGCATTCATTGATCGTCTAGTAATTAATTCTAGTAACCTTCCTAATGCCGCGACCCCTTAGTAAAGTTCCTCATGTTGTGATGACCCCCAACCATAAAATTATTTTTGTTGCTACTTCATAACTGTAATTTTGCTACTGCTATGAATCGTTATGCAAATATCCAATATGCAGGATGGATTTTCATTCACTGGACCAAATTTGGCACAAAAACCCTATACACCCAAATTTGAATGCTGAGGGGGTTGGGGGGGTTGGTTTTGTCATTTGGTAGTTGTGGTTGCTGGGATTTATAGTTCATCTACAAAGAGCACATTCTGAAGTCCACCAACGATGGAATTGAACCAAACTTGGCACACACAACTCCAATGACCAACAGAAAATACTGGAAGGATTTGGTCGGCATTGACCTTGAGTTTTGGAGTTGTAGTTCACCTAGATCCAGAGAGCACTTTGGACTCAAACAATGATAGACCTGGACCAAACTTGGCACGAATGCTCAATATGTCCAAATGTAAATACTGATGTACTTTGAGGGAAATAGACCTTGACATTTGGGAGTTGCAGTTGCTGGGATTTATAATTCACCTACATTCAAAGGGCATTCTGAACCCTACCAACAATAGAATTGGGACAAACTTCCCACACAGAATCCTCATGACCTACAGAAAATACTAGAAGGGTTTGGTGGACATTGACCTTGAGCTTTGGAATTGTAGTTCATTTACATCCAGAGAGCACTGTGGACTCAAACAATGATGGATCTGGACCAAACTTGGTACGAATACCCAATCTGCCCAAATGTAAATACTGATGGAGTTTGGAGAAAACAGACCTTAACATTTGGGGGTTGCTGGGATTTATAGTTCACCTACAATCAAAAAGCATTCTTAACCCCACCAACAATAGAACTGGGACAAACTTCGCACACTGAACCCTCATGACCTACAGAAAACACTAAAAGGGTTTGGTGGGCATTGATCTTGAGTTTTGGAGTTGTAGTTCACCTACATCCAGATAATACTTTGTCTCAAACAATGATGGATCTGGACCAGACTTGGCACGAATACTCAATATGCCCAAATGTAAATACTGATGGAGTTTGGAGAAAATAGACCTTAACATTTGGGAGTTGTAGTGGCTGGGATTTATAGTTCACATACAATCAAAGAGCATTCTGAACCCCACCAATGATAGAATTAGGCCAAACTTCCCACAGAATTCCCATGACCAACAGAAAATACTGTGTTTTCTGATAGTCTTTGGCGATCCCTCTGACACCCTCCTCACGACTCCTCCAGGGCTCCCAACCCCCAGATTGAGAAATACTGATATGCCTGGTGTTTCTTCTTTGGTTTGCCTTCTTCCAAAACCTAAAAGCCCCCAGTGCATTGTGACCATTTCCCATAAGGGGGATGCTCAATGTTTACTGAACATCACTGGGCTACACAGTAGGGCTGGCTCCATCAGAGCCCATCTGGTTGTTGGTCTGCACATTTACCACAAAACTGATCCAGGCTCCAGCAACTGCAATAACGATTTTTTCATTTCCCAGGACATAAACAGAGGTTGCTACATACTTGGCAGCATTTCAAAAGGCTCCTAACAGAAGTCTTGGAAGAATTCAGAAAGAAGGGAACGGAATTCTTGGCTAATGACATTGTTTGGCTAAGAAGCCTCCCTGCCATCTGGTCAAATCTATACAAAGCTGCTGGTTGCCTAGGACTATTGCATAACCATGCATTCCTCAGCCAATATTGCAAAACTATATGCTCCTCAGCCAAGGATTAATTAAAGTTCAGTATTTAATGATTAATAACCAAGACCTGCCAGGATTTATGCCTCTTTGCATTAGTTGGGTGTAAAGGAGCTGGCTTAGGGAGATGATACAAACAAGTGAAGCTTTCACTGGGTGATCACCAAGCCAGAAATAAATTAATTTGATGAGATGCCAAAACATCACCATATTTCATTTGCAACCTTTCTCTATTCTCTACCACTGTCCAAAAAGAAAAAAAAAACATGATCAGACCAAAGGCCCATTTGAGAAATAGGAAATGTTAACTCTTTAAATGTTGTTGGATTATGGTTTCCATCAGGTTTCATCACTGGGCATGCTGGCTAGGCTAACAACTCCTGGAAAGTGACACCTCTGGCCTAGCCAGTCCAATATTGCATCCAACCAATGACCAAAGAGTTGTCCAATGTCCAATTTATTATTTATTTATTTATTTATTTATTTATTTCCCCCATTTGTACCCTACCCTTCTCAGGGCGACCTTACAACAGCAAAAACAATTAAAACATCATTT